GATTCTAAGAAAAAGAAAATAAAGAAAATTTGTTAAAAAAATATATGGGAAGCCTTTTATTTATTTATTTATTTAGCATAAGGGTATTTAGACTTGAGGAGGTTATGTAGGATACGAAATTTAGCCTAGTTAAAGCTTTTGTAAAATTGTGGTTTTAGTATATAATTTTTTATGTTGTAATATGAATTATGTATAGTTTTTTTATCAGTTAAGAAAATCAGTGTTTCACATTACAAAAATTTAAATAATTGACTTAGACTTAAGGTTTTAAAGTTAGATAAACTAAGTAAAAGAATTGTAAATAATTTGAAATTTAGTATATTTTATGTAAAATTTCTTTTTTATCTTTATAAATTTTTAAGAAAGAAATTTCAGTTTCTATAAAAGCTTAAAAATCATAACTCCAACTTCTATAGCTAAAAAACTGCTTAATAAATTAGGTCAAAACAGGTACTTAGTATAACAATGTGACCCAACAATGTCGATAATGATGGAAATCTGAACAATTGCATTTGGGGAAGAGAGAGGGCAGCTCCCTGGTGAGGAGCCAAAACAGGCCCCACAACAAAAGGCAGCATTACTCTATTGCAATGTTTCTTCATTACATGGTGTGGGGGAGCAATTAGTGTTGGATAAGGCAATGAGTAATGGTTTGTGGAAAGAACCAAAATTAAAAAAAAAAAAAAAAAGAAACTTAAAAAACTTAGAATCCCTAAGGCATCTGAAATTATATCTTTGACCAATTCAAAAGCCTAAACTCAAAAGGGGTTTCTCAGTTTTCTACCAACAAAAACTAATGAAATCTTTTCCATCAAGAAAAATTAATGCATAGAGGATTCATAACATAAAGATAATCTTTTCTTTTCTTTTTTTCTCTTTTCAATTTGATGGTGTTTTATTTAGAACATAATGTTGTCCAAATTGGAATGTACCTGAAAGTTTGGAAATCTCTCTTTTCCCCAAACGGCTCTCATTCTCTTTGAATTCTATGTTTGCAAGCAATTATATGCATGTAATTGAAAGCTACAATTTCAAGGAGGAAATTAAAATTCCACTCACGAGGTGAGTTAAATAGAAACTCAAGAACTTAAATACAATGTAAATTAATTAATTTATTGTCAATTAATTTTAATTAAGATAAATACTCATGTAATATTCGAAACTTCAAAGTTTTGAACTCGCTTCCTTTTCTAACAGAAAGGATAAGAAAATGAGTTGCATGTCCAGGACCACCGCGAAGGCCGTCATTTGGTAGGATGATGATGATGAGATCTATTTAATTCCTAGGTTGTACTAGGGGAAAATATAGTAAAGAAGAAAAAGTGCACCCATATATCTTGGAAACCAAACATACTCAAAATCCCCCCGATGGTTTTCTCTCCTTAATCCATGGTACAATGCTGCATAATTCCTACCATGTGAGGAGTGACTGCAAAGTCTTTGTATCATGATGCTTGCATGCCCATGTATCATTTAATCTTCATCTCCCTATTCCCAAAATTATTATGGTTAATCATACCAATACCATCTTACTTCTTGCTAATTAATTAGCATATTCTCATGCATGTAAATGTAAAAAGGTATGTGTTTTAGGTTGAAACAACTTTAATCATAGTTATTATATCCGGACTAATAGATTTAACCAATGAACTAGCTAATAAACTGATACCAAGTTGGAGCATTACCCTAGTAGCTGGCCATGGGAAGCCCACTAAGTTGATATGTCTCAAAAACAAGGGATATTTTAAAGGTTTCATGTTTTGTTTTGTTTTTTATTTTTATTTTTATTTTTTTTATCAATAAAATTTTAAATTTTAAATTTTAAAATAAAAAAAAAAGACATTAAAATTCTAACAAGTTTTAGGTCCAAATCTTTCCATGAAACATTTTTATAAAATTAATTAATACTTCATTCAACAATATTTTTTCACATAGTACTTTATTTAAAAATATAAATTTTTAATTTTTAAGTAATTTTTTATATATTTTATTTATTTTAATTAACATTATATAGATATATATTTGAGGTAATAATAATAATAATAAATAATTACACTACAACCACCACGCAGTATATGACAAAGAAGCCTAAAATAGGTTGCTAGTAATGCGTGGATTCCATGAACCGTCAACGTCCATGCTTGTTGCTATAGTGTGGAAACAAAACCCATCCATTCAGACAAGATATGGTGACTCAATATGCTCATGGTATTCAAAAAATTTGTCTGAATGTGCCTATGTGTATAAACCCTAGCTATTGACCAAGTAGTAGGGGGATCAATCTTCTCCCCACATGAAAAAAAGTTAGGATATGATGTGTTTCATTTGTGTATCTATTAAAGTGGACTTTTTTTTCTTTGGGAGAAATCCATTTAAGTGGTCTTAGAAATTGAAATAGATGTGTATTGTCCTTTTCTTCTTCTTCTTCTTCTTCCTCTACCACAGCAAACGGCATCTCATTCTTTGTACTAGATGCCAACAACAATTTGCCAAATTAACTTGGGAATTGATGGAACATGAGAAATTTGTGCCATGCTTAATTTTTTTCCCTTTGATTGACAAAAGAAAAGGGGAGGGAGGGGGCCCTTGATGTGTTCCAACTTTTTGAGACCACAAAGTGAGAAAAGATGTAAAAGGGCTCTAAATTTTTTGAAATGGTGTGGCTAAAGTGGAACTCCATCAAACAAAATTGCATGAAACCTTTCCCTCAGAGCAATTAGTACAAATCCAGTCAGATGGGGCCACGTGTCACGTCAGGGAGCTGAAGCAAATTATGTAACCGGACAGCAGGATCAATGGAAGATCACAGATTAAGCAGGCAGGCTTTTTCAGTTTTCACCACAGCCAGCCATTGAATTCATTTTGCAGTAAGCCTTGTGGATGTGGCTGCACCATCCCCTCCACCCCAATGACATGCATCTGTTCCGGGAAAATATTAATTGAAAGCTGCTTTTCAAATCAACCCCATTTATGTAAAGTTTAATTTGGACTTCCTCTAATTTTGATTTCTTTGAATTGTTAGGTAGACATGAGGCAAATCTTGAGTTAGATGAAAATGGTTTGAATTGTGTACTTTTTATTGAAAATTGCTATCTAGAAGTTGAAATCAATTTTTAAGAATAACTTCTTAAAAAATTATATTTGGTTGAATTCAGTTGATGTAATATAAAAATTATTTTAAAAGTTAGACTATACAATCAATCAATTAAATTTCAACACAAGGTACACAACACAGATATTTCTTGTCATGTTAGGCTGCGTGATGGATCTCCATATTCAGGTCTTGGGTCAAATACGTTCCTGCAGAAACAGGGGATCTATTCTACCCCCTCCTTAATAAGTTGTGCCATGTCTGTTTCAAAAATGACAGTTCCATCATTAATCTGAAAGGCTCTAGAAATTACTTTGTTCCTTTGAAAATCAATCTGTTTGATTCAGACCAGTTGAATGACAACAAGGAATGTGTTATCTTGCAAGGACCTATAGAACCAGCTAAACTATGTAGTTGTCTTGCGTGTCCTGCCTGCCTCCCCTGTTTGGATTGACAGAAAATTTGAAAGAAAATAATAGTAGTAGACACTTACCTATAATCCATGCGCACTCACAAACACACAAAAACATGGGTATTAACACGCATGCAAGCATGCAGGAGGTTACATTCAATTAAAAAAAGAATGTGCTGGATCCCCTGTTAAACAAAGTTAATTATGAGTTTATAATCTCTAAACATGGAAAGTCATGGGCAGGACAAGAAGGAGACAGACAAAGACAAAGTAACGAGGAAGAACAGCTAAAAAGGGAATTATTGGGATTGGGGATATTAATATTAGTTTAACATCTTATTTAACCCTAAAAAAAAGGGGAAAAAAAGAGTGCTTAATAACATCTGAGGTTTAGTAATGTTAGTTCCTCCAATCCTGGCAACTGAACTAGAATAAGATATAATAGGTGTATGACAAAAACGGAAGCCCACAAATTGTTTATATATAGGAAATTAGCAAATAAGGATATTGTAAAAAAGTGATTTTAGGGTTTTAGCAAAAAAAAAAGGAGGGGGGGGGGGGGGGGGGGGGGGGGGAGTAGCTTTGGGTAAGAAGCAGAGTATTAAATAATTAAAATGGTAAAATTTAGATTTTGCCTGATTATATAATAATGATAATTAATTATTTATATATTTATCAAGTTACTCATAAATTTAATTTGAAATTAAAATTAGAGTTTAAACTGTTACAATATTAAATAGCTAATTTTTATTTCTAATGTATGATTAAAAGAAATAGCAGGTTGATTGTGGCCCTTAATCTTGCTAAACCAAGAGCACTAATCCAGGACTGAAACTGACCCGAACGAGGCCAAAGGTCATTTATGGGGACAGTGTACTTGATGAAGGTGAGGAGCTGATGGAATGCATCTTTTGCATACAACTAGAGTGTTTATGCCCTTGGCCCTTGGTTTGATGACTATAAGTTCATTTGGAAAGGTGCATTCTCTATTCCAATAGCTGTAGTTTGAATCTCTCACCTTTCATCATCATAAACTCGTTCAAAAAAAAAAAAAAACAAAAACAAAAAAACAAAACTAGGGTGTTTATAGAGGGAGAATGGATGAAGGTACAAGGAGATGGCCATCAGCCACTAATGTCTTTCTTTTTATCTTTTTAGTAATCCAGAAGTGTACTAAGCAAGGGTTTTTTATCGGGAAAAAATTATTATTTTTGAATGAATTACAATTTTGAGGGGAAGAGTTTGAATTTTAACTCTAAAAATATGAGTACATTTTATGATGAAATATATAATATATAATTATTGATTATCATTTTTATGTTTTTCTTAAAAAAAATTTATGTGATACTAACATGGTTAAACTCATGTTAATTAGTATGACATGAGGTTTTTATTCTTTTGAGAAAGTTAATGTTAAAAGTAATTTTTTTTGTTATGACTCATTTAGTCTCAACAAGTTTACCTATTTTTTTAAATAAATCAAAAATTAATATGATATACTGAGGCTAACCCAAGATAACAAACTGCCATAAAAAAAAGGAAAAAAGGATAAAAATCCTAACACAATGTGGGGTAAGGTTATAGCATCGTTTAAAAAGTTAAGATAACTAATTTTTTAATTTATTTTAAATGGTATTTAAAAATATTAATTTATTAATTAATACATAATAATTAATAATTAATAATTATTTTATTAATTAAATTAAAAAATAAATATTTTAAAAAATAATATTTTATAACTCTTAATCACTTAACATTGCTGTAAAGACCATAACCACACCCTAAGCACCATGACCACACCCCACAATGTGGGCGCAGCATTCTTTTGACTGGGGTGGAAAAGAAAGGGGATTTGGGACACATCCTTCCTGATTGATCAGTTCCAATTTCTTATTTTGCTTAGCAAAACAGAGAATAAAATAAGGGGTTCACGCGTGCCAATGTTTTGTGTGTGTATGTGTGTGTGACCTGGGGCACAAGCGTGCTGTGAGCACTCACGTGCGACAAGGTTTTATATATACGCATGAGGAGGATGTACTCCATAGAGCTGTGGTCAGGCAAGAAAAGGGTCATGCTTGATACTTGCATTTTGCTACATGACACTTGTGTAGGTTAGGGTCCAGACAGACGGAGCATCTCAGGGAGATTCTTGCATTTGGGTTGTGTAACACTGAGAGGGCATCCATTCAAAAGAAGGGGGTGTGGGAAAAACACTTTAGAAAATTGTGTTGAGAACAATGGAGATGAGTGAACCAAAGCAGTCTAAGTTCAGGAGGATTTGTGTGTTCTGTGGGAGTAGCCAGGGCAAGAAAAGTAGCTATCAAGATGCTGCTATTGAGCTCGGAAAGGAGTTGGTATTTTAACAAATTCACTTTTAATGGGTTTTTTAGGGTCTTCTGCACTTGGGTTTTTGTGAAAATGTCTTCTTCTTCTTCCTTTTCTTGTTGTTTTTGCTGGGAACTTGTTGGTTGTTTCTATCCATCATAGGTGAGAAAATGATCTTCAGAAGAAACTAATGAAAGTTGCTTGCTTTCAGTCTGCATATTTTCTTATTTTTTGGTATTCCTGTTATGTTTGTAACCCGTTTGTGATTTGGTTTCGGAGGATCCAACAATTTCAAAACTTGGATTCATTCCACAAAAGCAGACTTTTTTTTTCTTGTTGGTTGTCGTCTCAGGCATAATCCATGAAATTATCTCTTTCTGTCTCTCTTGTAATGTCTTTATCTGGAAATTCAAATGGCATTCAAATTTCCAAATATCCCAATCACCTTATGTTTAAAAGCATTTAATAAGTTAGGAATTTTATGTACAAACTGAGTATTACTGCATTGATTGAGCAGGGATGCATCCTTTTCATTCCTGTTGTTTCTTCTGTAGCCTTGTGAATGTACTCTTAAGGAATATTGTTTTCATCAAATGGCACTGTTGAGAATTCTCACCGACCTCAAAATGTTTATAATTTTCTACATGAAAAGTGTCAAACAGTCAACGAAAGACTCCCAGTCCCTTTTAAGCTGACTTGTTTATGTTCTTTTGCAGGTCTCAAGGAACATTGATCTGGTCTACGGAGGAGGCAGCATAGGCTTGATGGGTCTAATTTCACAAGCCGTTCATGATGGCGGTCGCCATGTCATTGGGTAAGCCTCTTTCTCTTTTCTAAAAACATCCCAGCAAAATTTAGGAAACATAATCAGTGAGTTTGCTTCATGGTTATTGATTGTTTTCTTCTCCTTTGAATACTATTCTTGGGTTATGGACTCCATTAGAACTGATTTTTGTCATGTTATTGTCTCTCTGCAGAGTTATTCCCAAGACGCTCATGCCTCGAGAGGTATGTTTGCAACAGCCAGAAAAAGTCTTGAACCTTTACATATTTTTTCAATTTTTTTTTTTAATTTTTATTTTTTAAAAAGGAAACAATGAAAGTGCCAACAAGTTCCATTTTTTCTATCTTTTCACAATGGATTGGTTTAGATTTTTGTTCATTTCTTTTCTACCTCACCCCCCCTTTCTTTATTTCTTTTCAATCTTTGATTCCTGTCTTTTGCTTTTACTTTCTTTCATATTTTCATCCCCTTTTTATCACCTTGGTTGGTGATTGTTTTAATCTTTAATTCTGGTTCTGATGAATGTCTGATAACCTTATCCATACACAGTACTGCTTGGATTGTAATCAATTTACCTTTTCATATAGAGTATATTTTGGGATCATATACCCCAGTAGTTTTTTCCAATGTTTTTCTTGCTTGGACTTTTCTAAAATTCGAATTTCTTTTTTTTTTTTCTTTTATCTTTTCTGCCTATTTTCAGCCAAAAAGTTTACTGGCTGGGGGCATTACTGAGTTTTAAAGCTTTTGTTCGGATCAATAAGTCCAACATCCCTGCAACCCCCATCATTGCCTCACTGCACACAACACTCCATATCTCTCTCCTCTCTCTCTCTCTTGGGATTCCAATCTTCTTATTTTTCCGGTGCTTTTTTGCAGTTAACTGGTGAAACAGTAGGGGAAGTGAAGGCTGTTGCAGATATGCATCAAAGGAAGGCTGAGATGTCTAAGCATTCAGATGCCTTTATTGCCTTACCAGGTTAGAATAAACTTCCTGAGGAAAGAATTTATTGTTTATAAGAAAATTTCTAAGGCATATCAAGAAAACTGGACCCTTTCAGGTGCTCTTAGTATAAAAATTCTAGCATGAAAAATTGGTCATGCCTCATATTTTTTACTCTCCTGAGGTTTGCTGAGTTCCTCTGTTTTCTTTTATTCCTGTCTATAATTCCAAGGGAAAAAAGTTGCAAGTGTCAAAAAAGGAAACAACCATTTCTCTTTTAATGTAAAAATATGTAAAATCTTTGCTTTTCCCATCTGCCCCCATTCTTTTTAGATTTTCCCAAGGCTAATAACATTCAGTATACTGAAAGGATTATAATTTATTAAGAGTTACTGTTTCATAGGATTAGGGATGTGAAGATATAGTGAAGTAGCATTACAATTGTGGCTAAATTGTTCTTTTATTCCATTTATGGTATTGGCCATGCTGAGAAAGCTACTGTGTTTTGTTTATTTATTTATTTTTTTGGGCCTGTGCTGTAAGAAAGCTACTCTGGTTGAACCACGGCACAGATCTCAAAACCATGACTAAATAGCAACCCTCAAACCCTAGCTCTTGACCCATCAACATCTAACACAGAAAATTAGAGCCTCTGTGGAACTCTGCTTCTGTCTGTGTTTGATATGTTTCTTTTTTTCCTCTTAACATATTCCATTGTATGTGGTGTTACAGTGCCCCTGACCATATTGAGGACAAAGGACATCCTTAAAACTTTCATTAAAATGCTTTTCCCAATTAGCAACTTTACCTAACAGGGGAATCATGTTCATTTACCCCATTGAAAAAGCTACTTCTTCTTTTCTTTGGGTGAAAATTGTTTGTTCTTTTGGAGTTAAAGCCGAATGCCTCTGAATTAAAAGATGGAGAAAATGCAGAGCAAAACAGTCATTTTCTTACTAAAAACACTTAACTTTTCTTGTTACTCCGCCAAGTGGGAGAGGAGGAAGTGGGAAAATGAAAAGAGAAAAAGGTGATAGAATGAGATTATGAGAGACATTATGACCTAAATGGGTTGGCTGAGGATTGACTCTATTTTCACGAAGGATGTGAAACAATAATACCATGTTCCAAAATGTAGGGAAAAGGAGGAGTGTAAATGATAATTTGGAAGGAAGAAGTAAAAACTTCAGGGAGCATGTTCTCAAAAATGGCCATCAAAGGACAGACCCTTTAATTGGACCGTCATAATCCTTGATCTTTAGTCAAAGACATCACACCAAACATAGAATTAGTTGAGTTAAGTCTGTCATCTTTTGTACTGAGAATTAGATTCTGTTAGTCTTTGTCTAGTTGGTTAAGTGAAGTCCGTTAAATATCCTATTTTCTTTTCCTTTTAAATACAATTGGATGAGTAGTTACATAGATGTCTTTGTTTTTGAATTTGTCTGTGCATTCCTATCCTTCAGTCATCTTAGATACCGATCTCATCATGACTGGGGAATGATGTAAAAATTGAAACATTTGATAAGGAAAATAAAAACACAAATTCCCTTGGTACGACTTGGTTGCAAAGCATAATGGATGGTTAAAACTCATTTTAACAATTCATGCAGGTGGTTATGGGACTCTGGAAGAGCTGCTTGAAGTGATAACCTGGGCTCAGCTTGGAATACATGAAAAACCAGTACGAATCTGTATATTTTGCAGGTCTTGGTGGCTTCTGCTAATGAGCAGATTTGGCAAACTAAAAGAGCATGGTTTTATTGTACGTTGCAGGTGGGCTTGCTGAATGTTGACGGATACTACAACTCACTGCTATCATTTATTGACAAAGCTGTAGAAGAGGGATTTATTAGTCCAAGTGCACGCCAGATCATTGTGTCTGCATCCACAGCAAAGGAATTAGTGAAGAAATTAGAGGTAAAAGAAATGAAAAATTTTCATGTTTGATTTTCTCAATAAGTCACATGAAATCTCACACCTTAGACACAAATAAAGTAACAATGATTAAAATGATAAGTCAAAATGGAATTAAGTTATAATGGTACTTTAAATTTAGAACTGGTTTTCTGTGAGGTAAGAAGTGAATAAGGTACACTAATTCCCCTATCCAATTCTCAAAGTGGATTTTTCTTGTGTTGTGGGTAAAAGCATGCCATATTGAATTCACCTGCATCTTTCTCCCTGCAAAAAGAATCATGTTTCTCATCTGTGCTCATCTGCTATAGGAGTATGTCCCCTGCCATGAACAAGCTGTTTCGAAGTTGAATTGGGATATGGAGCAGCTTAGCTATCCTCATCAAGAATATAATAGGTGACAATGGTAATGCCTATATTGAGGAGAAGGTAGATGGACTTTTGGAAGGTTCGAATTTGCAAAGGACTCAAAAATTTCCTCAGATGGGGATTCTTTTTTTGTAAATTACTGCTAATTACATCAATATTTGAAACCTGAACCTTCTCTTTAGCGGAAATCCGTTTTCCTTTTACATTGTAAGTACATATGAGTCTTATGAACAGCACTCTCATGATATATCAACTAATATATATATGTTGACTGGTTTTATTTCCTTTTCCTGATCTTATGGGGATTAAGTGCATGAGTTTTCCATCGAATTCACTGTCATCATGAATGATGACCTTTTATTATCTCAATTCCTATAGCTTCAATGGCAAGTTTCGACCTGAGTCGTTTCAGCTTTTCTATATATATTATCAAGTTTGATCTATTAATATTCATTGGCCAAGCTCCTGGGCAGGCAGTTGTCCCACCAATTTCCATTGATGCAGTGTTTTAGTCCTTTTGAGACAAAACAATTGCAACTTTTACAATCGTTACATGAATTCAAGCCAATCAAGCAGGGGAAAAAAACAGGGCTAATTATCAAAAAAAACAAGGCTTTATAGAGAAGGGCGCTGTCATGGAAGAAACATGTTCTCTGGTCTGTTTCAGGGGACTTGTTTTCTGTTAAGGTTTTGAATAGACAGGAGTAACCCACCAACCACCAGTAACAAAAGATGGCCAGGTGTTGTAATGGAAGGGAAAAGAGAGGGGGGGGCTCTTTCTTTAACCAGATGAGATGATTAGTAAGTGGAACCACCTTCTGTCCCACGAATGAGACACTAACTAGTGTGATGTCAGTCAGCATGGTTTTACAAAAATGGGAAATGGAAGCTCAATGTGCCATGAACATTTTGGACAAGATGATGATGATGAAGTTCTCGAGTTTGGTCCCAGTTTCATTTCAATTGAGGCTTCTTCTTAGTTGTGTTTATTGTTATCATTAATGGATTTTGCTTTCTACCAAAAGGGCATTTGATGGTTGGAGAGTCAGTTTTCAACTGCTTTTTGAATTGGTTTTCATGGGGACTATGGGGAATATGAAGTAGTCCTGTCTACTCCTTTTCACTGCAGATATATTCCAATTACTTTGTGCATTAGGGTTTTGTTTAGTCAAACCCATAAAAGTTGAAGTTATAGCTTAGTTCTTTTCAGCTAATATTTTGATAGTGGCCGTCTAGACTCAAGATCATGCATCGAATGATAATTGAGGATAATTATGACTTACAAATAGTAAATATTTTATAATAGGATGGTCTGTCTATATCTAATCCATCAATGTTTTAGGACACCTCGTTCTTCTGAAAACAACAAAGGGGTCCAATGGAAGTTTCATGAAAAAGAAAGTTTTGTGGAAGATATGATGGAAAGTTATAAGATAAAGAAAGACATCAACATCCAGGATGCTGTTAGAAGCGAAATAGGAGAGGCCCAAGAAGGTGTGTCTGTCGTCTTATTCCTTATGGAGACAGGCTGGTTGGAGGCCCGGAGCTTTATTTATTCCTAACACATCACTCCATTTCAAAATAGTATATAAAGGGTAGTGGTATTGGGATAATTTATTTATTTATTTTGTATAATTTTCATATATCATTAAATAAGTAGATGAATTTAATATCACGACTCTCACATGAATTAAAAGAATCAATTATTTTATTAACACGTCAAATTTATAAAAAGATAACATAAAATAGTTGTCCCAATAGTATTTCCTGTATATAAATACTGAAAATGCAATTTCTTTTGAAAATATTCAAAAAAGAAAAAAAAAAAAGGAAAAAAAAAGTGGGAAATGATATGAGAACATAGAAATGGATGAGGTCCCTGACCCTGAGTAAAGTTACTTGGTGGGCTCAAACTATACATAGAGACATAGATCCAGTCTAAAGCCCATTTGCCATCAATTTGTTTGATTTGTAATGTTTTTTAGGAATTAGTGCTTATTCTCTGGATTTTTAAAATATAAAAATATTTTAAAATTATGTTATTTTAATAAAATAAAATAGATTAAAATAGTATTTTTTAAATTTATTTATTTATTATAAAAATCTATTCAAATAGTATAAATTTAAGGTATTTTCCTTTTAATTTTTTAAAAATCAAAATTAATATACACTTTTCTTATCTTTTATTTATTCACAAAAGATAAACATATTTCTAACAATATATTATGAATAAACTATGTAAAATGATTATTTTTAAATTGTAATTATAAAGGTTGATGTGGTTTATTGAACTTAAAATTTTACTAACAAAAAAGTTCATTTTCTAGTCCCCTAAAACAGACCATTAAAATGATTAGTATAATGTACTTTCTTTAAAATTGAGTTCCAAAATCAAATGAAAAGAAAAAAAAAAGTTCTTTTTCTAGTCCCTTAATAAAACAGACAAATAAAGATAAATCCAGAATGTATCTTGCAGAATAAAACCAATTTTTCTACATACTACCGGTCTGTCCCTTTCCTTTACCAAAATCCTAGCATCCTCAACCCCCTGTAGGCAGAAACCAGCTGCCAAGCCAAGCAAGAAGTGATTCCAAAGCAAATTTTCAATTTGGTGATTGTCTGTCAATACCATTATAATATTCCTAACTTTCTAAAAAAATATTAGGACATACTGTTAACGGACAGTAGATGGATGCCTTAACACCCTAATATTAGAGTTTGCTTCCAAGCTTTGTAACAGCCTTTGCCCCTTTTGCTAGTGCTTTGTCATCTAATCTAACTTAACTGCCAACTCTGAGGTCTCTAGTTAGCTAACGACCCTTAACCTACCCTGCATTTTTATCCAACTATAAGTACCAAATGTCCTACCTTTCTTAGCCATCCAAAAGTGGCAGCGAAAGAGAGAAACATTCTTCTTTTTTGAGAAAAAAATGACAATGCAGCTTAGTATGCACTTGGGAATGTTGTTTTTCATCTTGTGTTTCCTGGGGTTTATCTCTTTTCCAGCAGAAGCTGCTGTGAAGATGTATCAGTTTGATGTGGGTGTTCAGTCTTTTATAGTTTCTTTGGATGTAATGCATAACTTTTTCTTTTGAGTTGAAGGTTAATTCTTCTTCTTCTTCTTCTCCTGGGTTTCAGATTAGGGTAAAGAATGTGAGCAGGCTATGCCATTCAAAGCCAATTGTTACAGTAAATGGAAGGTTTCCGGGGCCTACCATTTATGCGAGAGAAGGTGATCAAGTTCTTGTCCATGTCACGAACCATGCACAATATAACATGTCCATTCATTGGTACGTTCGGTAATGTAACATGATCCTGAAAAGATTTCGGTTTATAATTATATTCTGATTAATGTGTGTGTGTATGCAGGCATGGCTTGAAGCAATTTCGCAATGGTTGGGCAGATGGACCGGCATACATAACACAGTGCCCTATAAAGACAGGAAATAGTTTCACTTACAACTTTAACATCACCGGACAGCGAGGAACACTATGGTGGCATGCACATATTCTATGGCTGAGGGCTACTGTTTATGGCGCCATTGTTATTCTTCCCAAGGAAGGAACTCCATTTCCATTCCCCCGACCTCATCGATCAACTAAGATCATCCTAGGTTTGCAACAGAGCCCAAATAGTTTGAACATAAAACTTTTTAACTAAAAATTTTCATGTTCAAATTTCGGATCAATAGTATTCTAACATCAGAGACCAATTTGTGCAGGAGAATGGTGGAATTCTGATGTTGAAACAATTGTAAATCAGGCCAACAAGTTAGGTGTGCCACCACCGACTTCCGATGCCCATACCATCAATGGCAAACCAGGGTCACTCTTCCCATGCTCTAAAAAACGTACGTATTACTAATTTCTACTCTCATGTCACGTTGAAAACAAAAATTATCATTACATATATAATATTACATGGGATTGTAAGTTTAAAATATGATTTATATATATAATCAAATCTTTTCATTTAGGAACTCCAATGGAATGTTTCAATTATTAAGAACTTGAGATTTCAAGTTGAAGATCTCAAGTTCGAACCTTGAGTTGGGCGGGAGAGATTTAGGAAAAAGGGAGGTTATCCCTCTTTTGTATATCCTATTAAGATGTACAAAAAAAAAAAAATCTTTTCATTTAGGAGTTTAATCATATTATATGTATTCATTTAATAATATGTTACAATTGTAGATTTATAATCTTACATAATATTATAAGTTGAAAATTATCACCAATGTTAATACCTTCCATTTTTCCATTTTAGATACTTTTACCATGGAGGTGGAATCAGGAAAAACGTACATCCTCAGGATCATCAATGCTGCACTCAACGACGAGCTGTTCTTTGCCATAGCCGGTCATAGCATGACCGTGGTGGAAATTGATGCCGTCTACACAAAGCCCTTCTCAACTCAGGCTGTCCTGATTGCGCCGGGTCAGACAACAAACGTCCTGGTTAAAGCAGATCAAGCTCCAGGGAAGTATTTTATGGCGGCACGGCCTTTCATGGATGCTCCAGTTCCGGTTGATAACAAGACTGTTACCGCCATTCTGCAGTACAAGGGGATTCCCAACACAGTTCCACAATCATCCCTGCCCATTTTGCCTGCTCTCAACAACACCAAGTTTGCATTGAATTACAACAGTAAGCTCAGGAGTTTAAATAGCCAGCAATTCCCAGCCAACGTCCCTTTGAAAGTGGACCGCCACCTTTTTTATACCATTGGTTTGGGAGCTAACCCATGTGCTACCTGCCAAAACGGTACACAACTCATGGCTTCGTTGAACAACATCACCTTTGTGATGCCGAAGATTGGGCTCCTGCAGGCTTATTACCTCAACATCTCAGGGGTGTTCAGGACTGATTTCCCCGATCGGCCACCAGTTCAGTTCAACTACACCGGTGCACCACTTACAGCTAACCTGGCCACTTCGTCTGGAACAAGGCTCAGTAAGCTGGCATTCAATTCCACCGTTGAATTGGTGTTACAGGACACCAATCTCCTCACTGTTGAGTCCCACCCTTTTCATCTTCATGGTTTCAATTTCTTTGTTGTTGGAAGCGGGATTGGAAACTTCAATCCCGCCAAAGACCCAGCTAAGTTCAACCTAGTTGATCCTCCTGAGAGAAATACAGTTGGAGTTCCCACTGGAGGGTGGACTGCGATCAGGTTCAGAGCAGATAATCCAGGTAATCTAGATTTTAGACAGCATAAAGATATAAAAATGCATGGTTTTGCAGCCTTAACTTACTTTGATTCCAATGTTTCCAACTGAAGGTGTCTGGTTTATGCACTGTCACCTGGAACTGCACACAATGTGGGGTTTAAAGATGGCTTTTGTGGTCAAGGACGGGAAGTCGCCAGAGGAATCTATTCTGCCACCACCAAAGGACCTTCCTCTCTGCTAGACACCCTCTTCTTCACATTTCTGGAATTTCCATTTTCATTTAAGAAGCTCCTCTGGGTAACAATTGCAGATGATTCTTTTAGGATGAAACTTCCCAGAATTCTAATTGTTTGTTTTAGATTCTTTTGAGGTCTACATGAGATTATCAGACCTCATTCATGCAATGTAATCATTCAACAATGTGCAAAAAAGAATCAAAATTCGATGCATTCAACATTAAAAGCAAACATATATGGTTGAAACTTGAAATACAAAGTGAAACAAGAATCCAGTTAATTGATTTTCAAAGTATCACAATTCACCTCGCCATTTCCACAATTTTGTTGTCCGTTGACAGAAGATGTCGGTACCTTTATGCCATCAGACTTTGATGCTTTTGGACAGCATGGGTGTGATTTCTTTCTGAAGCCAAACTTTTTGGCAAAAATTTTCCAACTGCTCTTCGACTTCACCAGCTTCTGCAGCTCTTCTTTCATGTTCGAGCACTCCATTTCAAGATCCAAGACACGTTGCTTGATGTCCTCAACAACCATAACATGATCTTTAGCAGGATTCATTTGATGAGACACATCATTCTTGAGAAGCCCAAGGTTGCCACCGAGATTTTGAGAGTTATCAAGATTTTCTGAGACAAAGAACCAGCCAGAAACTGATGTCCGAAGACGTAGTTGCTCAAAGAAGAGGACTTGGACAATTACTCGAAGAGGTAGCCTCTCATTCTGGGCTGCATGCGTGCTGGCTTCCAGAGATAGCTTCTGGCAGTTCATAAGTCTGCAGAGCTGTTCTCTCTCAGAATCTGTTATCCAGGGATGTGCCTGACGTAGTGAAATTATAAAGCATTAAGCAAACAGTAGCTGATATACAGGCATTTTAACTTGGCAAATAAACTTCAGTGCAAAACTAGTGACAGGTTTTCCTTTTATCTTGCTTCTGTTTTCAATATGTCGAGAATTTAAGTTTCTTTAAAAGCCATGCTGAATGCAGTGGTAAAATATTTCGGAGAAGAGCATACATAATCTAGTAAATAACTAATTTAGAGCCAAACAATTATCTTAAGAATTTTAATCAGCAAAAGAAGAGAAAGAAAATGATTAATTCAATCTTAATTCCTAAACCAAGAAGCCACGATTCCAAATTTTTATGAGTTCCAAAAGTACTGATTTTTTAACCACTTAATTACTGAAACTAATCCCAGATGAATCTAGAAATTAGATATGTCATGTATTTGAGAGATATTACCTTTAAGTAAACATCTATTGCATGATAAAGACCATCATCAAGCGGTCTAGCATAATCAGGAATTGCAGCAGCAAGAGACTCAAAATTGGGGAGCTTAAAATTAACATCTGGGGCCACCTCAGCTAGATAACCATCCATAATAGTGGCAACCATTGTCATGGGCGTCAGTGAATCAGATCCATTCATCAACTGCCCCTCTTCAACTATGCAAGGTGAAGGTGCTAGAGATGTAGCCTGCTCTATAGACAAGAAGTGATCAAGGATCCTCTGAATGCAATCTATATCATAAAGTGTCTCTGAGTAACCCATATTTGGTATGAGAAGATCCACAAGTGAAGCTTGGTCCAACTGGGCTCCCACCCTCTTCTCCAAACATTCTCTGCACAAAGGACTTGCATGCAATACCATAGCAGTACGAAGCAGCCTAAGCAAAAATTTGGTGGAAGTGACTCCTTTTTTATTAGGAAGTAACTCTACAATCTGTTCAAGGAGAGCCCTTTGATCTGCCTCAGAAGGATTTGAAATAGCCATCCCTGAGTTGTTATGGTTTGCATCATCGAAGCTAGATTGTCTATTCATCAAGGGCAGATACCTCTTAGCATAGTGTATAAGGGATGCAGCTATACCTTCAGGTTTCATGCCTCTGGATTCAAGAGCTAAAATCAGCCGCTTATATAGAGGTAGGCTAAGGAATGATACATCCGCATGCCACCAATCCTCACCACTAGGTTGTTTCTTCATTTCAGTTGATATTCCATTCCATAGCTCAGCATTCTCGGGGCTCTGCTTGCTTTCATTTCCTGACAAAGACCAGTTGAATAAGCTTGGGTCTGCACAAGCTTTCATTGCTAAGGATTCAATGCACCTTGAGACAACATGAAGCTCTTCAGCATATGGCAGAACTTCCTCACATGTTTCAAGAGCTTTTATTGTGTCTGTCCAATGGCTAAACACTTCATTAAGGAATGCCTCTGTTTTTGAATTGAGATTTCCTTCTCCATATGTTTCAGTCATCTGCAGGTATTCTGCTGCACATCTAAGACCGACCACATTTAAAGCAGTGAGTTCTATTTTAACACCATAGCAAAATTTGGTTACTAGCTCAAATGCTTTAGCTCCACCAGGTATGTTAACTAGTTTCAAAACGCAAATTGATCCACTCTCACTGGAAGAATCTTCTATAAGCTTCTCCAGTAGCCCACTTCTTGAAATCAATGGAAACTACAGCATATGCCAAACCAGGATGATGTTATTGTCACATCCTAAAGTGATAATCTTTTCAAAGAACAAATAATCTAAATAAAACGCACCTTGTGGAGATGGAAAAACATGTCTCCAACTTCAATGGTAACATCACTTTGAAGTCCGGTGGTGCAAGTCCTGAAGGAGAAGGAAGCTTGATTCATATCCATAAAACTATTATTGATATCTGGCCAAGCAACCATAAAAATGCGGCAGAACCCTTCTTAATTAGCAAAACATATGGTTAGAAAAGGGTCAGAAATTAATTATTTGGTTCAATATCTATCCATTCACCAATGATGCCTCCTCTTTCAGGAGGAAATCTGATGGACCATGACCGTACTTATCATACAGATCTTTCCATCTTGTTTTTTGCTTATATAGGTTATAATTACAAGTATTCATGTGGTAAATGCTTGCCTACAGCTTCATACATTTTCAAGTGTTATCTGAATCTAAGATTTTAAATTAAGAAATGAAATAAACCACAACTGAGGAGACACAATTTCTCTAACGTTCTTTGAAAATAACCATGTATATACTGAGACTTAATAAGTGGGAGAATAATTTAGTCCATTCATCACTGAAACATAAAATGTAATCTTATACACTTTCTGAAACCACAAAGGAGTGTGCTTTTTATTGAGACAAAACTACCATCATAGTATCCACGAACCTCGCGTCCATTATAAGTTTTGATTGCTGAATATGGGCAGAGTTTTAGCAAGATTGCAGTGCTAAGTACAATACAATACCTAGATTTCAAGCATGTAATATGCAGGATACATGATTTCACAACCCAATTATGTTAAAATGTCAACATAATAATACATTGAAATTATGAATCTAAGATCTTTAATGACAAAAACAAGAAAGATCCAGATTAAATTAAATAATGAAACCTGCTGTGCAAGTAACATTCTTTAGTTGACTAACCTCACATGGCATTTACTCAAACACTTGGCATGCTTCACAAAAGGGCCACAGTACCTAATAAATAACATTATATAAAACAGAGAGCACCCCTCAAGACATCAAAAGAACCCATCTTCACAAACTCATTTACCCCGGAACCCAAATACTCATTTACCCCGGAACCCATTTGGGTAATGACATTCGTAGGAACAATTCAAGTATATATCTGCTTACCAAGAATGGCCTTCACGGTGAAAAGCTTCAGATTTAGAGCCAAGCCTCAAGCATGCCATGTTTTATTGTACTTGTGAAGTGGGAAAGCTTAGAACTTTGAACTGCATGGAAAGTAATACAATGGGGTGATGGTATGAAGATGACAGGGGAAAGGAAGAAAAGGGGAATAGAGTGTGAATGATGCCCAAAAGCGGATCTCATTGGTGTAGTTTCTTAGGGATAGAAAATTGATGGGGTAGCGAGTCTAAAGCAAGAAGTGAAGGA